TTTCTAATCTTACTTGTAATTTTTGTTGTTCTTTAGTTAATTTAACTTTTAATTCGTTAGTTGAATTTTTTAGTCTCCAATTTGTGGAATACCATTCTTCTCATTCTTTTCGCAGTTTTTCTCCCACTTTCTTAGCTTCTTGATCTTCTCTATATTGTTTTATTTGTTGTTTTAATTTGCGAAGTTCTTCTAATTTTTTTGCTGATTCTTTTCTAAAATATCTAATGGTATTATAGATAGCATCTTCTATTTCTATTGCTTTATACTTGTCTTTTTTTCAGTATATAATAGTTTAGTCAAATAATCTATTTGTTCTTTTTTTTTTTTTTCTTGTTCACGAAATTTATCTGATTGTAGTTTTGCAATTTGTTTTGATTGTATAAACTTATAAGATAATATGTGTAATTTTTTATCTTTTTGTTGTACTTTATTGATAACTTCTTTTTGCTTTCCTTTATCAAACTTTTTACTATATATTATAATTAATTATTTTATTAGTTTTATTATTTATCTATATTCTTAATTTATATATATCTTTGCCTTTTAGGATGTCTATGTTGTTTTTTAAACTTTCAAGGCATTATCACTAAAAATTAATTTTTTTTTTAGATCTCATAAAATAAGGTTTTAAGAAATTCTCCTATTGGATTATCAAGTTGTACAAATTATAAAACTTAAGGAGTTAGATTTTCAAAATTAGTAATTATTCTGATGTGGACAAATGAGTTAGAATACTTGTCTATTGATCAAAAGGATAAGGGTTCAAAACTCGTTGTGAGCAAGCTAATGCTTTTCTAATGGTCAGGAATATGGCGTGGCCTCTTAAAAATGATATACCAGAATAAGAATTTTATTATTTTATTATTTTATTTTTGTGATTAAATATTATTGACTTTATTAATTTATTAATTAATTATTCTAATACTTTATACCTGGTATGCATAAAATAAGGTTGGGCAAATGTCACAGGCTAAAATAAAAGATCTACAAAATTAGGCACAGTAACCCCGTGATTAAAGCAATGGATCCAAGAAATAATAGTTTATCGGTTGAGGCTTATCAGCCGAATAAAGACAAAACAATAACCAACACAAAATCCAAAGAACAAGAAATACGAAAGAAGAAATAAAAGAAAACCGAGTATCAAGATTTAGATATAGCTGAAGTGGCTGTAAAAGTGAATAATTGTATTGAGTGAAGCAAAGCCTTTCTTTGATTATAATAATGTTGCAAATTATTATTGTAAGCCCCTTATCTTAGAACTAGTTTTATTAAATTCGCTAACGATGTAATGTGTAAGTCATCCCTAAGCCCTTGAATCCTTTACATTCACTAAAGCTATAAAAGCTCTTATATTTCACCCTTCTCAAAAGACATCATCCTATGGGATTCTAATAATTCCTTCACAATACATTTAATAAATCACCTTGACAAACTCATTTAAATAAAATAAATTATTGTCAAATCATCATCGTCATGCCTCTGGCGAATGCCTTATATAATATAAATTTTATATTTCGTGCTTAAACTAATTAAACCAACCTTTCACCCTGTAACAGTATGATATGGGTGAGCAGATCAGTATGTTACAGACCAAAATTAAAAACCATACTATACTGATCAGCTATAATTCCTAATTCTAATGGTAATATACATACCGAATCAGTATCGTACGGATACTGATCTGCACCTGATCTGTAAAACACCTTGCTGAAATTCATCCAAATCTTGAAAAATTAATTTTCTAGTAACCTAATCGATAAGTTATCGACGCATTGTCATTTTTCAATTTCCACTGATTGAAAATGACTCGGGTCAGTTCTTAATGCTGATAAGACTTGCATACAATAATAAAACTGATTAATTGCATATGAATACGTATTTGCAATGACATAA